AGATTTTTTTCTTTGTGTTTACATGGACCAGCTGATTCCAAGTGGATAGATTGGCCCTGTTTAAAGTAGAAGAGCTGTTAAGATACCTGCAGGCTTTGTGTTCAGCCCTGCTTTTTTGTTCAGTTCCGTATTTTACAAGGCTCATTCATCCCTTTTGCACCAGAAATTAACCTTCATTTTGTCAGACCATTTCCATCCTCCTTGAATTCCATCCTCTGTTCCATTGCAGTACTGGTTCTATCATTCTGATAAGCTTCCTTTGAGAGAAAATGAGGGGTTTGGGGACACTTACTGTGCAAGCAAGTGCTTTGTTGCCTGGAAGAGTTAATTTTTTGGATTTTTCTTTCCAGGACACACTAGTACCAGAAGAATGGAAGAAATGTGGAAAAGCAAAGCAAATGCCTTCAGAACAGAAGTGAATAAGTAACTGAAAGACCAGAAGAAGGAAGGCAGAAGCAGATTTTTTTTATATATATATTAAGTCAAAAGGGTGCCAGTTATACTTTTTTTTTAAAAATCTTATTTTCATCATTGTGTTCATGCTACTTGAGTGCTTTTCATATGAATCTGGAAAATCTTTTGTTCCCTGAATCCTCCTCCCTTTTTCTCCCAGGACTTTTGAATTTCCTTTAGAAAAAGAGGAAAAAGAAAATACAGTTCTGCCTTTCCCCAGGTGCCCTCTCCTCATCCTAAACAATTTGTGAATAAAGAGGAAAGAATGGTCCTGAATTATTTTTTTTTGGGTGTCTCAGAGCTTGTGATTGGAAGTTGGGCTCATAGGAGAATGAAAAGCACCTTTTTCTGGTGGGTAATTGTGTGTATGAGTCATTGCTGTCTGAAGCTTCCTGTTCTTTCATGTCCTTTCCCAGAGGGATGTATTTATTGGGGGGGACTTCCCACTCCTGCCTGTCCCTTGTGTGATGCTGTCATCTACATTTCTCTGCTAATGGCGCTCTCTCTGACTTCAGGGTGGTGCTGGGCTGGTCTGAGCTGCTGTGGGCCCTCGGGGCTCGGGCAGGAGGAGTCCTTGGGGCCTGGCCGTGCGATGCTGGCGTGCCTGGCTCTGTCTGACACTGGTGGTGGGTTTGGTGGGTCTCTTGAGCGGGTTCACTTTTCAGCCTCTGAAAGTAACTTTTTCTCTCCAAATCCGAGTTTGATTGAGGTTATTGTCTCTGTTCTTCTATGAAACCAAATGCCAGGAATCCGCTGGTTGCCATGTTGCCACATTTGCATTATTTGAGCTCCAACTTCTCAATTAATTACTAACTTCAAGACTGCTGAGCAGTGCTAAGGCAATGGACTTGGGCTTTGTTGAAGGACATGCTGATAGTAATAACCAAAGGCCAAAATCTCCTTCTGATGAGCAATTTCCACATGAGAAACTTAACAGTTGCTCCCTCCCCTGCGTCTGTGTGTTGGCTCCTGTTTGTCCCATGTCAGACTAGTTTCTTTAAAGGTCTTTTGTCAAAGGAACTTTATCAAACGTGTTTTGGAGATCCCAGAAAATTATATCAACCAGCAGGCATGTGAATAAAGGGTGTGGAGTCAAGTCCTCCAAAGAGCTTCACATGTGTGAGACATGACTCCATGTTATAAAAGCCATCTTGCCTCTTCCCCGCTGCCGTTGTTCACACTTAGTTCACTGTTTCTGTTCTTCGTAGTAGTTCCTACCAGTTTGTTCATTGTGAATGTGATACTGGATGCCATAGAGGTTTAATGAACTACTCCTTTGACCTCCTCTGCAGTCCTTCAAAACCCTGATCTCATGCTGCAGTAAAGTCCTCTGGGACTAAAGGAGTTTTAAGCAAGAAATAGTTAAGCTACTATTTGCAGTATTGTACCCTGGAATTCCTTTTCACCCTGCTGAGTTCTTTTTGAGCCTCATGTTTTGTTACTGCTCATTTAGCAGCTTTGTTTTATAACTTATTTTTCTACTGATGCTTCATACTAGGACAGATCCTCCAGTACTTTCCCTGTAGAGCTCTGGCACACTATCCAAGGAGAGCAGAGATGCAAAAAGAAAATCATGGAGTGAAACTGTGATGTATCTTCTCTCAGCTGTGTGTGTTGCTATTGATTTTCTACCTCCTTGGCTATGTGTTAGGAAAGGTTGTGGGGTTTTTTTGGCCTTTTTTTCCTCAGACATTTTCTGGTTTGTTTTTATACTTATTCTGTCAGAGTTTGAGCATTTGTTTCTTCATTTTGATCAAACTGAGTTTTCAGAGGTGTCTCTTTTATTCCAAATAGCTGCACTCACCCAGCTCCTTTAATATACACACTTGGGTCTTTCCAAAGTGTTTTTGATAGGTCTTTTCATTTTATTTAGAGTATCCCATCTAGTGTTTGCATATAGCTTTTATGCCACTTAACAGAATTATATTAAATTTTTTTGCCACCATGTTTACTTACTACTCTAGGAAGCTGATTTTTTTTTTTTTAAATAATTCCTTTCCTTGGAGCAAGTAAGTCCTTATGGCTTCAAGTGTGTTGGTTGCTACAAAACAGGTTTACAAACACGTTTTGACCCAGGCCTACTCAGGTTGTTTTTTCATTTGTGAGTTCTCTGTCCAGCTGTACTGTGAAGCAGAAGGATGGCTTATTTCTCACTGTGACAGCTGCCTGCCTGCAGAAGGGTAACAGATTACCTACTGGTGCACTTGCTGCTGTCACAGCTTTGCTCATCTCCCTCAATATCCCCTCGTTGCTTCCCATCCTGCTGGGCAGTTAGTAATTCTGTAGTGCTAGAATTGTAAAACGTGAACAGATAAGCATAATATATACAGAGAATAACATAATAAAATAAGATTATATACAGAGATAATCTGTAATCTACAGGGATTTGATGCAAGTATGACTCATTTCCATGCATGCTGGATCCTGCTGTCCTAAAACATGGTCACCTGAGGAAAAATGAGATGTACCTACTGCATACTCTCAAGGGATTGTTCAGGTGCAAGGAGGGATGGTTTCAGAGGCCTTAATGTATGTTTGCAGGCCACTGCATTTCCAACCTGGTCTTGAGTTACTGGCACTAGACTTGGTGCCTTCGTTAGCACGGCTCTGAGGTGCACTTGACTGCTGTCTTTGGGTGACATCCTCCATTCTGTGCCCGGAATCAAGAAATTAATGTCTCAACAGACAAAGAGCCATCTTGACCTGCTGTTGGACAGGTTTATTTAGAACAGCATTTATTTCCTGCTATGGTGGGGTAGCAGACCCCATCCTGATATTATTTACATTTCTGAAGACATAATTATTACACAAACAATGGGAGAATTGGGGTAACAGGGAAGGAAGTAGCTGTGTGAGATCACTGGGTTAATAACTTACTTTTTGAAAACATTTACAGTTGTAACCCTAGTCACGGTGGAGTTCAGAGCCACTGGGTGGCACGTTGAATTAAAAGCAACAGCCCCATCTGATGCACAGGGATCACCTTTAACTCACGGAGCTGTAGCTTCAGCTTGAACACCTCCAGGCTGAGCAGTAGCTGTAGCTGAGCTTTTCAGAGTTCAGTTTTGCTGCTGGGGCTGTGCATCAAGGAGCTAGACAGCAGCAGCCCTCAGCAGCGTTTCTAGTGGGTGGCAGACGTGTGGATTCATGTCTTACCTCGCCCTGATCCGAGCTCTGTGTGTGGTTGTGCCATCAGCATCTATTTAGAGGAGGCTGTAATCAATTTACTAAGTTGCCTAAAGGTGCCTTTTGGTGGCCTCATGTTTATTAATCAAGCCCTCAAACAGAATGATGACTTGGCAGAAATTTTGCTATGCTTTGTGATTTGAAAACCTTAATTAGTAGACAGTGTGTCCCCAGGATTTTAGTCTTTGTATGTAAAGCAGCCTGAGGTTAAACCACTGAGGTATACTTCTTTCCTGATTCAGTACACAGACGAGTATTTAGAGAGGGGAGTTAAATTGTGAAGACTGAAGTAAATTAAGTAGTGCATCAGAACTGCATTCCTTTAAACAAATCTGAGGAGTGGATGTATGAGTTTCCAGCTGGTCACATCCAGGAATGTCTTCATTGCTGTGACGGGCTTACTGTACCGTTACATCCATAAGCTCTGAATTATTCTGGACAGAAGCAGGAGGAAAAGAGAATTATGAGAAAACTGTGAGCACGTGGAGAAGTGGAGTGTTGTGGGTTTTTTTTTTTTCATTCTTTAGGGGCTTTTCCTAGCTGACCTTTTTTGTAGAAAGATAACTAAGTCAAGCATGGCAAGAGATGCTGAAATGCCATGCTCTCCCATCTGAATCCATAGGCATGACAGAGGTAAAGTTCTGATCTTCTCTCCCCTTCCCAGCCCTGTTTTTGTTCAGCATGCACACAGGTCTCTCCACATCCCTTTATATTATCCTGGCTAGGGTTGGACAGGCCTAATTTCTACGGGACAGAGGAGTAAGATGAGGTTGCTTCAAACAGGACAACTGACATTTGTACAAGTATAGGTATTCCCAAGGATGGACTGTCTGCTGGTTCTCAGTCAACCAGGGCTGGCAAGATTTAAAGTGTAATTCAAGTTCCAGGTGATTACTTTCAGGAGTGAGGGGTACAGAAAATAGTAAGACTTCCTCTCCTGTTCAGTGCAGGGAAAACCTGAAACGTCCCAGGGACCTGGAGGCAGGTTCTGCTCCCGAGGGAAGACTTCTGTCTGCTTTGAGTCTAGCTTAGGCACTTGGGCACGCAGTCTCAGATGGCTTTACAAGGCTCCTTTTGGTGGCTGCATGCCTGTTCCCAGCCATCTACATGTGACATCATAACACTCATAGTCTATCTGTTCAGACAAACAAGACTTTAGGTACTTGACAAAATTGATGAGGAGTTTTTTCCCCTTAAATTGCAGCAAGCATCCTTTTTCATGGGCAGCAGTGGGAGTTGGCTTTGTTGAAGGAGAGCCTTCAAACTCCTTGAGCAGTGCAGAAGTAGTGTGTTATGTACAAAATTGAGCAGGGAATGGTCTTACTCACCAGAGCACAGGCAGATGAAAACGGGAGAAGTATCTACATGAGCTTAGCCAGAGTGCTGGGAAAGCCACCTAACCGGCTGCTGTTGATGTCCTGAAGCCTGTGAAAGAAGAGAACAGGGCAGTGATGGCATAATTGAGTTTGAGAGAGAAATTCTTTTTTTCCACTGCTATTTTGCTGAATTATAAGGGTGAAGGACAGCACAGTGATGTGCTAGTGTGTGTGGTATGGGCTGGCTCAGGACAGCCTGTCCCTTCTCGGCACCCTACTTGCTCACGTAGGAAAGAGCTGGGTTATGGGGTCAGGTAGGGCTTTATTCTTTCCCTGAGTGTACCTGAAAGATGATCTTTAATCCAATAGCTTCACATCTGGAAGCCAGACAGCAATAAGGACCCTGTCTTATTCCTTGTGGTGAGCAGATAATGAACTGATTTCCACCTACCTTTGATTCTGCAGAATGGCTCCCAGGAAGTCCTTTAGTACCATCTGTTGGTGGTAGCGGCCGTCCATCAGGATGCTGTCAGACTGGCGCCTTGTCAGAAATTCATGCACCCCTGCTCCTGGGCTGCTCTCGCTGCTTCTGTCATGCAAAGATAAGAAACATCTTTATTTCAGAGATGCTTTTTAGTCCTTCTCCCAAAGTTTGGCTCACGCTGAGCAGCATGGCAAGGGAACCTAGTGCTATTCCGCTTAATTTCAGTAAGAAATTGCTCAGCTGTGTTTGCTCCTGCGTTAGAAGATGGATTGGAGCTGGCTGGCATCTGACTAGTTTGTCTTATTTAGTGGCAGTCACTGATCTATCTAGCCAAAGCTACCTGAGTGGTAGTGGAGAGGCTGTTTTCTGTGTTCAAACCAGCCCAGGGATAACTGTTTCCTACCAATGAATGATCATTGCAACTATTATTTGCAAATATTATTGCTTGTTGATATTATGGTAGAGCTTTCAGCTGATCTGACACTGATAACCTCAGAGGAAAGGATTAATTAAGCTGCTTAATGATAGTTTTGGTTAGGGGGATCCGAGACGTAGGGATGCATCTCTTCAGGATGTGGAACAGCAGCAGAGATAGCTGCTTTCCGCTGCAACAGAAGCAATTTCAGCTGCATGCATGAAAGAATCTGCCCAGTGTAACATGCAAAACATTAGCCCTAGGAGAGCAGAACGCTGTGGCTCACCCAAGCCGCTTGCCAATGATGGTCTGTAAGAATTTGCGGGCGGAAATCTGCCCCAGGAATTTCCGGTAGTTGTCGGTGAATATGGCATCAGCATGGCGCTGCATCCTAGGGGGGAAAGACAAGCAGAAGGTGTGCTCTCTGAGCTGGCAGTGAACCTTCTAGGTGAGGATTGGGTGTTTCGGATGACAAAATACACCAGATGTAGCAGTGCTGAGGTGAGGGGCAGGTAACCGTAGCAAATGCCTCTTGTTGTTGGTGGGTAAAAGGATTTGAGGGAGCTCAGTCCTGACAGGGAGGCAGCAGGCAAAACAAACTGTCTGTTAATCAGTATCCACACTAAAACAAGCAAGAAGTGCCTGCAAACCAAAGGTGAGGTCAGAGAACCAGTGGAAAGGAGAAGAACCATAGGCGGGGAGAGGGAAGAGCTGGGGCTGGGACATTCCTTTGTTCTACAGCAGCACTGTCACCTCTTGGGAGGGCTGTATCTGGGACAGGCTAGAATGAGCCTCCCGCAGGCCTCTGGGCTGTGGTTAGACCCAGGCAGCAGGCAAAAATCCACAGGTAAGGGAAGCACAAGCCACTTGGCTGGTCTCTGCTGTTGTAAGGATGAGTCCTCTGTGCTTCAGACAAAAACATCCTCCTTCTCCTGGCAGAGGTGGAAAGGAGAGGCTCTAAGAACCATACAGATGGATCCCGAGAGCTCAGTGGAAAATTATGTTCCCTGCAGGAGTGCTGGGCCTGTGACTCTGCCTTTGTCAGTATGTCCCTGCTGCTGGGGGACAGCAGGACATGGCTCTGGACATGGGTGACGGTGAGAGCTGGCACAGTCCCAGCCTTCTGCTCTGGTTGCAGGGCTCAGCTGGGTTCTCCACCTGGAGCCTGGACTTTGTGGTGCTGGTGGGACTAAGTGACCTGCTGATCTGTTCCTGGGCTGCAGCAGGGCTGTGAGGTGAGGTACAAACCTTTTCTCAGTGGGGTCTGTTAACAAACCCTCCTCGTCCTGTTCCTCCACCGAGAGGTTATGGCTCTGTAATGGGCTGCTGTGCTGGAGCTGGAAGTTCATAGCCTTGCCAGGAACCGGCCCTGGACTGTACCTGCAAGACAAACCCAAGGCATACTGTGAGACGTGCTCAGTTGCCAGTCAGGCATCAGTCTTCTTGACCACTACTCCCTGTTCTCCTGCTTTTTCTTTCTCCTTTTGCCATCCTCATCTCATCATTAATACAAGTGGTGTCCATCACTCTCCCTGGCTAGAAGCTGCCCTGAAGCTGTTTTCAGCAGTGAAAGGATGGTTGATAGAACTGCCCCAAACACACTTCCCCCCTCGCTGAGCTCTCAGCACCCTTGAGCAAAATTCCAGTGATTCTGGTATTATAATGCCAGAGCTTTGGCACTAGGCTAAAGCATTTTCTATGGGAGATTGCAAATCCACGCTGCAGAAACCAATGCTCAGTTTTGAGCTTCCTTAGATTTGCAGTGGTAGGAAGTAATAGTACAACTTGTCAACAAGGAAATACTCAAAATATTAATAGGCAGGTGTGGAGTTCATGTACTAAAATAGCTGCAGTTCTGATTTCAATGTGGGTGACCTGCAGGCACAAATTTTAATCAGTGATGGAGCTGGAGGTGCTGGCTCCTTTGGAGATTGCCAGATTTCTCTTTATAGGACTCAGCATTCAATTCCAAAACCAACTGCTTGAGCTGAAATTTTCCATGTCAGGTGCCTGCCTTCTTTGGAAATTGCCCCTAGGCTAGCAGTGTTCCCAAAAAATTAAGCCAGGGTAGAGAAATAAGTTTACCAACACACCTACAGTTCATCTGGCTTTCAGAAGTGCTGGCAACCTTAATTTGGCTCGTGCTTACTTTGCAGAAGGTCAGAGATGAAGCAGGGAGTGATGGCACGGATAAAACAGTCAGCAGCTTACCTGAGAGCTGGGTGGAGAGGAGAGGAGATGGAGCATGCGACTAAATGCAGGACCAGGAGCAGGGTGGCCTTATCCAGCATCTTCTGCTCTTTGGGGTCACCTGAAACACGGAGGAGTCTGAGTCAGCGGCAGTGAGGTCCTCAGGGCCAGGAGAGGAGGCCAAGTGCCACCTTTGTGTTCTCAGTCCTCTTACTCGCTTATCGGCACGAAGGGATTGGAAATGTGCCTCCGTGTTTGTGGGTATGGTATTTCCCAGTCCAGAGGTGTCTTGACGTGGCAAAGTCTTTGCTAGGCCATGCAATTCCTGGAGGCAGCAGCTGTGTGACCCCTCAGGGAGCTGGTGCCTCCCTTGGGCCAGGAGGCAGGGCTGCTCAGCAGGGTTTCATGCTGTGGGACCCCTTACTGGTGTGTCCTCCTGCTGTGGTTGCAGGAGAGCTCTCAGGCTGGGGTGAGCCCTGGGAACTGCTGCATGGGCTGTGGATCCCAGCGTAAGCACACCTGGATGCATGAGGGCAGCCGTTAGCAGGGGCTGCCAAAACCAACGGGACTGTCTGTGACCATCCCCTAGAACCTCTCCTGCCCTCTGCTCTCTTGGGGACATGTCTGCTCACGTGGCTGTACGCTCTGTGCATAACAGCCAACTGGGCTCCCTTTCCAGTTGTCCAAAGATCGGGGAGAAACAGGGAAATCTGAATGAAATTCCTGGGCAGAGAGGTAATACTGGCCCAGAGGTAACTGGCAAACCCGTTCCTTGGAGGCAACAGTGCTGAGCTCAGTTCGCCAAACAAAACACAGGCTGTTCCTTCAGCCGTTGTGCTTGGGGAGGGGCTGGACCAAAAGACATCCCTTCGGAAGAGTAGAACTGCTGCTGTGTCCAGAGGAGCCCCCTGCACCGCTCAGTGAGGCCCCGGCAGCTCTGAGCACCCGCGTCACTGGAGGATGAAGTGGACTTGAGCTGTGTGTGCCGGCCCTCCGACCGCCGGCCGCGGTGCTTCGTGTCCCGGGGCTGGCCGGGCGCTGCGACGGACTCGGGACAGAGTCCTCTGAGGTCGCCCGCCCTGCAGAGCTGAACGCGATGCTTTTGTCGTTGGAAGCGAGGGACGGTAGGAAGGCATTTCAGTGAATGTTCTTTCCGAGTTTTGATTGAAAGTGATTGATCTTTTGCTCAAAAAGAGTCTTTAAGAATGTGGATAGAAATCTTTAAAATATCAAGTTTCCCTGTTCCCTGTCTTATTTCACACAAGAAAAGAGCAGAAAGATGTTTGATCTCCGTAAGAGAAAAAAACACTTTAGAATTTTTTTTTAAAAACCCTTTCAAATGTATAACAATACTTTATTGCAAAAAGAGCACTTTCCAAAGGGAAAGGGTTTGATTTGGCTTCTAATTTCCCAAGCAAACTTTCCGAGCAGTGGGTTTTACTGACGGTAGTGGCAGGAGGGGGCCCGTTCCGATGGAAAACATCAGCAGCGAGCTCTGTTTTTCTGCTTGGACATAGCTGCCCGCTCTCTTGGAAGCAAATCAAAATACTGGGGGGGAAGCTCTTTAAGAACCGGTGCTCATGTATGTGAGTCCGATCTTGATGCCGTGGAAGTTAATAACAGAACTGGTGGCAGTGTCAGAAGTGCACCGATGGACATGGGCACCGTGGTGCACTAGGAAATGGGGTTTCTTACCGTGAACTCATTCTCAGCCCGGTGCCTGTTTGCAGCTGCTCACGCTCCCAGCCCGGGTCCGGGGCCCAGCAGCTTCCCCACCCGCTCCCCTGGGAGCAGCACCGTTGCTCTGGGCTCCAGCAGAGCTTCTTGCAAACACGAGTGACATCCCCTACCTCTGAAATCTGGTTTCTTATGGTACCACTCTGGCCTCTCAGAGAGCCAAGGAATGCTCAGAAGCAGCAAAAAGTGACTTTGAGAAAGACTTGCAGGGCTCCTGGTTTTAGGACAAATTTTCTGCCTTCCCCCACCGCCCCCCCCTTCTTTTTCATTTGAACTTGAAAAAGCATGCCTCTCTTGTGCTTCTCTCCCCTAAATATTTCCAAGACAAATCCCAAAACATATCTCTCTCTAGATAGAAGTAGTGATCTAAAGCATCTGTCAGGAGGTACCAGGAGACTGTGGCACCAACATCTAAGAAAGTGTCAACCAGGAGATTTAATCAGTACCGAGAAAGCTATGTGAGCTGAGAAGTGAAATATCAATGTAAATGAAAAGAAAACCTAGTCCAATGTTGTCTGCTTCCCTTTTTTCTTCCTAGGATACATCCCTGATTACCACTTTCTTTCTCTATCTGTTTTCTCTTCCTTGAATGCTGGGTTTTCCTCCAGAATCACTTTTTTGTCCCTTTGCAATTTTTTTTTCTCTTCTCTGTTATTTGTTTCTTTACGATATTTTTTTTTTAGTTTCTGGTTTTACCTTTCTTCCCGTCTTGCTTTGTCTTCTCTCCCTTCACTACAGTTTGCTTTTCAACCCAGCTTTTGGGGTATTTTTGTCTCCTTTTCTCCCTTGGGAAGGAGCCTGAAATGAAAGTCCGACACCCCTTCCCAGGAGTGTCTGCTATTTCAGAGAAGCCAGGGAACTGAAGCGTCACTCTGCATACAAGCAACTTGACAGCTCTACAAAACCTTGTGACCTTCAACGTTCTCCTGAGGTGAGGGACACCTTACTTTCCCTTCTGGCAGCATGTGAAAAAATGATTAATAGATAAATTCCCCTTAAGATGAAGAGCTCTGAGCACCGTTCCAGCAGATAAAGCTAATAGCTTCGTTCCATCCTGCGCAGCGCTAACAGCAGCTTCGTGACAGTGATGTTGGAGAGATGGGGTAACTATCTCTTACTGTTTCTGAAACCTCAACCTGATCGGTCTTAAAAATACCACTATGGAGGTGAAACGAAGCTTTTACTGTGCCTGCAGTTTTACAAAGTTCAGACTTTTACACTATGAAATAGTACAGTAGAAAAGCAGAAATCCTTTTAAGTGCCTTACTCTGTAGCTGGCTTCGTGTTATCCGTAACACAGTGTTGCGTTTCTCCTGGCACTTTGGTTTGGCTCAAACACCGTTTCATTGATGGGTGAGGAAAACAGCGTTCATTTTCCAGAGTAAAAGGAACTCGCGTCAGTATAGCAAAAGAGGAGAACTGTGCTACAGCTAGTAAACCTCTAACCAAGGCTCATCTATAGTATTATTCTATTGACTTGAACTTATCCTATAGTTCAATTATTGTTTCATTCTATAACTTGGTACAAAAGAATCTTGTATGGTACATAGGATATTGTACCTGGCAAAGCTAATTACTGACACCAGCTTTGCTTGCATTTCAGTGTACTTAATTATCTCCAATTTCCAAATAGACGTTATCTCGTTAAACGCACATACAGAGACTCACACTTACCGTTCCCTTGGGAAACAAGCTCTTCCTAGGTCGGTTCCTGCTCAGGTGTTTCCTTCCCCTGTTGCAAATGCAACTTCTTCTCTAGAGCTGCTTCTGAGCCCTGCTGGGTCCGTCCCCGTGTGCAGTGCCTGGGCAGGACCTGGGACGCGTGCTGAGCAGGTAGGACACTCTCAGATCTCGCCCCAGCTGTCCTCTGGCTGCCAGGGAGGTGCATCTCCTCTTTTTATACCTGTGCTCCCTCAGGAGTCCTGTGGGCTTCTACACGTCAGAGAATCAATTATCCTCCTGAATTTCAAAGGCTGTGTTTAGCATCCTCTGTTTTGTGTGTGCAAGGAGGCAGGCAGGGAGGTTGTGGGGAGAGGGTTGTGCCTGTAGTCGAGGGTCATTTGCATGCTTTCTCTTTAGCGTTCAAAGAGTGAAGAGCAAATAGTAACAACGATAATCTGGCGGAGTGAATGACAAATTTGCTTTGCAAGGTAACTTCTCTTTCCCTTTGCAATTGCATTTTTTCCTCCTACTCCACACGAGATAGAGTTAACCATTAATACTTTCTCACACTGCATGCTCAGAAGGGTTTATCTTTTTGCTATTTTCTTTTTCTTTGATTATCAGCCTTTTCCTCCTTCTCCTTTGTTACTCACACCTGCTAGCCTTAGCAGGGCAGTTCATGCTTCAATCCCTCGCAAACATCACAGCTTCACATCAAGCACACAAAGCAGCTGGAGAGCCCTGCTCCGTTCATGTGTCCTGGAAAAAGACAAGGGTCTTCCCTCAGGTGCTGCATGTGCTGGCAGCTGTTTTCATTCCTGGAACGAGGTTTATGAAAGCTCCATTAAAAAGAACACATAGCCTTGCTGCCAAGAAGACCAGGACAGTTCAGAGGAGTTAAAAATGAGGTGCCAGCATGAGTTCCACCTGCCAGATTTTTAGTATTGACTTTGTAATGCCCAGAATTGATGGGGACCCAGACCTTCCTGTCTAGGGGCTTGCATGACTCGAGGCTGGGAAGAAGTTTAGTGGGTGAGATGAGTCATATCTGCCTGCTGCCAAATACCTTCACCTTGGTCCAGAGCACTCGTCGCAGCTATTGGTGGCAGAGACGGATTGCAGGGAAGACGATGCAACTGATGTGCATGTGGGTGCCTGCGTGCGCCGGGGGTCAAAAACATTCAGCACTGGTCTAACTCTCTGCTGTTGCCCCTTTGCTTCTTGCCAAGGTGAGAAATCAGCACTGTGATTATGGCTTGCTTCTCAGTGAAGCAATATCGTCCTTCCAAACTGTGGGCTCTCAGTAAGCAGTAACCCAACAGTCGGAAAGGCTTGAGTGAGCTCGGCTGCCAAATGACTCCGTGGAGTTCAGTAACAGTCGCTCTATGCCGAGGCAGATGTGCACAGACGCCTTTGGGCTCTCCCGGCTCTGAGTGCTCCAAGGGCTCATGTTCCCTATGGTATCAAATCAAGACCAGGACGCTCCACAGAGAAATCATGAAAAAGGATTGAATGGCAGGAGCTCAAGGTGACCTTGAACTGAGCAGCTGACCAGGGCCTTTCTAGTGGAACCAAGAAACAGAACAACATGAAGAGAAGCAAGAACTGCTGCCTTCCTCCAGCTGTAAAAGGAAATGGCACCAGCCTATTCCTGGAGGGAGGAGCTGCCGTGCAAATCAGGCAGGTATATTACTAGTAGATA